AGTAGAATAGGAAAATAGTTCAAGGCTTTCTTTTTTTCTTTTTTKTTGTTGTTGTTGCACGTGCAAAGAAGTGCTAGTACTATTCTTGAAATAGTACGATTAGAAAAATATTCTCCGTGTCAAATGTAATGTAAGTGTGTATGTATTTATGTGTGTCAACGTATGAAAAGAACATCTCGTTCAGAAAGCTTTTGCGAACGTTTTTCAATGCATTCTAGGAAGAAAACGATTTCCTAGAAATATGAAGATATATAGTGAAATATACACGTTTAAATGTATGTCTGTATATGTGTGTAAATGTGTTATATTTGTAATATAAAAGTGTATATATATATCTGTGTGTGTATATTGTATTTGTTATATACAAGTGTTAAGGTATATTTGTGTGTTACATTTGTTATAAAAAAAATATGATGGGTTTGTATTCATATATATATATATATGTGTGTGTATGTATAATATATTGTCTGGTGTGTGTGGTGTGTTATGAAAAAAAAAAAAAATAAAAAAATGAATACACAAAGTGTCGAGAGATTTCAAGTAGGAATGAAAAATATCCAAGTACAAATATTCATTGTGATTGGTGGTAGTGGTGGTAGTAGTGATGGTAGTGGGTTCTTCAGAAGTCTCTCTGTGTGACGTCTCTTCTAAAGATCTTAAAAACTACAAAAAGAAAAAAGAAAAAAGAAAAAAGAAAAATGAAAAATGAAGTAGAAAAATAGGAAAAGAGACCCAACCTTCTACGATTTTACGATTTAGGATTGAAAAAATTCCTAAAAAATGAATCATCGTCAATCAAACATTATCATTTATTAACATTTAATAAAAGTAAGAATACTTTTGTATAACATAGGTATACACAAAATTCAAAATTAAATATTATATTATATCAAATTTATCCTTATCTATATATATATATATATATATATATATATATATATATATATCAAATTAATCTTTATCTATATCTATATAATATATATTTAATAAAAATATTATTTATATTAAAATATTATATTACATCAAATGAATCCTTATATTCGCATAAATAATTATTAAAAATAAATGTTGTAAGTACAAATGAATGTTAATTTGTTAAATATATATAAATTAAATTAATTTCGTAGATTAAAGTAATTTTTTTATATTAAATGTAAATTTGTATAACATTTTTGAAACTAATGTCAACGATCATTACATGTATTATATACATTATACATATATGTATCAAATAAATGATAATAGTTTTACATATATGTATTATATGTATAAACTATATATATAATCATGATAATAGATCCGATAACATGAGTACTCATATACTTAAATTTAAGTCTGAACATTCAAATAACCCTCCACCCTAAACCCCTTTCATAGATTTGAATCTCAACTCGGATTTCAAATTATAACGAGTAATTTGAGTATTTAGATATTTAGATAGAAAGAACGTTACTATATATATATATAGATGTTCGTTACTTATTCGAAGTAAATTTTCGTTTCGTTTTAACTAGAAACGACAACCGGAGTTTGTCGAGTTTCATCGAGCAACAAGTTGTAAAATACGCATTCGAGCGTAAGTAATGAAATACGTGTATGCGTGCGCATTTCTATCTGAAAATAGAACTGTAGTTTTTTTCTCGAAAAAAAATATAAAAAAAAAAATGGATATTTTATAGAGGTAAATGTATCCTATGATAACAAATAAATGAATTTATATATTTATTAAATATATATATTTTTTTTTTACATGTTCACCCACCCCTTTTTGAAATATTTAATATCTAAAAAAATATTGTGAAATGATTAAACTATGATTGTATTGTAGAAATATGAATTATTTCAATATTATATATAGTATTAATTTTTATAATATAATTAAATTTAAATATAAATTAAATAAATATATATATATATATATATATATATATATATATTAAATAAAAATATAAATAAAAAATATTAAAAAATATAAATTAATAATAAATAAACTTATAAATATAAATAAAACTTAATATTTATTACAATATTAATAATATTATTTAATTAAAATATTATATACTATATCAAAATTATATAAATTAAGTTTACATTTATAGGTTGATAAATTATATATATATGTTAAATTATAATTTATAAATTTATAAATTAAGTTTAAATATATTATTATTAAATTATACATTTACTATATAGATATATATTTATATGTGTTGTAAAAACAATTTGATAATCTTAATTTTAACACAACAAATGTAAAAAAAATATATATATTTATATACGTGTTATTAGATCGTAATATTATTTGAAAAAAAAAATAATAATAATAATAATAAAAAAAAAAACGTTGATATCAGAAAAGTGGACTTTCCACAAAAGTACAAATAGAAAAGATGGCCATATTGTTTTCTATCAGGACTTACACAGTTGAGATATTTCGTAACGATGTTTACTCGAGACAAAACAAACTGATTAACTTTAAAACTTAAAGTTTACTTACACTTTGAAATGATGACGAGAGAAAGAGAAAAAATGAAACTTAAGAAAGAAAGAAAGAAAGAAAGAAAATTACAGGAAAAAGTTGTCTTCTAAACAAAACGAAAGTTCTTTTTGTTTTCTTCTATCTACCCGTTATATCCGATAATAATAATTTAAATAAAACTGTATAAATAATTAAATCAACTTGATTTGTTTGTTTTTTTTATTTTTTTTTTATTTATTTAAAAGTAGAATTTACAACAACAAAAAATACAAAAAGGAAGAAAGAAATAGAAAGATAATTTTGCAATAAATTATTTTTGAATTTTTTTTTAGAAAAACTAGAATAAAAATATTTTTAAATAATTTAAAATAATTGTATAAAAATATTAAATAATTAAATTATTAAATAAATGTGTTAAAATTTAATATTATTATATAAATAAATTAAAGTTTGAAATTATTAAATAAATAAATACTTTAAATAATTTTTTAAATGTGAATAAATATTTTAATTAAATATTTTGATAAATAATTTCGAACGAATTTAATAACTCTGTTTTTTTTTTTTTTTTACGGAATATTGATTGTAAAATTGTAAAAGTAAAATCAATTGAATGTTAAATAAAATTAATATTAAAAAAAGTATTAATAAAAAAAAAAGGTAATTAATTTTTATAAATCAATTTAAGGGAAATTTTTTGATATATATATATATATATATATATATATATTACTCGCATTTATATTTCATAATTTTGATAATATTTTTTATCAGACCAATTTCAAAAATATATTCATAACACACACACACACATATATATATAGGTTTATACGAAATATCATAAAATATAGGAGAGATGAAAAATATTCGATTTCGGTATTTCGACTTTAAAAGAATTTTCAAGAGAGAAACTTTTTTCGTTCTGCAAAAGTCTTCTTATATTACTACGACGACTACGACAAAGTTCGTTTTCATTTTTCTTTTTTCTTTCTTTTTTTTTTTTTTTTTTATACAAAAATTGAAAGAGAAAAAGGAGATAAAGAATGAATATATTACCTTTCTGTATTTTTTTTTTTGTTTCCATCGAAATTCTTTTAAATATTATCACAGTTCGAATATATATTTCATTTTTCTCATTCGTTAAAATTTTTTTTTTTTTTCTTAATTCGAATTCTTCTGATTCGTTTAACATTTTCTTTTTTTTTTTTTTCTAATTCGAATTCTTCTGATTCGTTTCAATTTTGATTTTTGTTTTTTGTTTTTCTTTTTTTTTATAAAGAAAACAAAAAACACAACATATGAAAAGAAAAAAATATGAAATCCTAATACGAAACGAATTATATTAACGCTATGATCCTATTAATAGATTATAATAGATGTATGATAAATGTATTTAATCCTAATCCGTATTATTTCTAATGAGAACACGAGAAAAGGGTTCGTGGAAAAGCCTATGACTGTGCTTTCAGTCTAACAACAGGTGCGGCCGTAATAATAATAATAATAATAAAAAAAAAAAACGAAGAAAAAGAAAAAGAAATGAAATGAAACTAACAAACAGAAGCTTCATTCCCATAATACATTTCTCAGAATATGAATTTACTCTAATGAAATTTTACAATATTATCAAGGATTAATATAAATTGTTTCATTTTATTTAAAAAAAAAAAAAAAAAAACGTAACAAATTGTATCTACGAAATATCAGTTAAATAAATATTTGGTTATACAATTTTACAAACGATAAACAATCAAATAACTCATACATGAACTCTTCTATTGAAATCACATTTTTATGAATTCAAAATTAAAAAAAAAAAATAATTCAAATAATAAACGTACTTAAATTAACAATTTGTTTTACTATTAAATAATAATTAATATTAATAATTATCAATTGGTATGATTCGTACAAATCAAATTGTTTATTTGAGCATGTACACATAGATGTGTGAAGAAAAATCAGACAAAAAATTGTGGTAAATTTTCAATTTCAAATAATATGGGTAAAAAAACTTAACATAAACCATAAAGAAAGTTAGTGAAATTCTGTTAAAAAAAAAATATCAAACGAGTCATCAACGAGTATCATTCTTTGATTGATTAAAAACACTGTACAAATAAACAAAGTAAAAAAATAAATCGGACGAGAATATATGTAACAAAAAAAAAAAAGAAATAATAAAAAAATCAAGGATATAATAACAAACAAACAACAAAAATTATTATGTGTCATTCTCAGATTGATTAACAAAACAATGTAAAAGTTTATTTGTATAAATCATGCAAGTATCTGTAAAAAAAAAAAAAAAAAAAAAAAAAAATAATAATTATGCATCATTCTCCGAGATTGATTAAGAACAATGTACAAATGTACAAATGAATCGAACGAATATCTGTAAAAGACAAAAAAAAAAATAAAATCAAACATTATAATAAAATAAAAAAAATAAATAAATAATGTCATATATATATAATATTTAGAAAATTAATAAAATAATAAAACAATGTCATATATTTACCTCGTTGTGTCAAAAGGTGAATTATAGAAATGTCCACCAGAAAAGTAACACGATTT